CTTCGAATTTATGTAACCTACTGTTTTTGTAACGCACTATTTCCGAATATCTTGCCCGTAAAGCGATGTTGTTCATCAGAGACATCGGTGTCTATGTGGCGAAAAAAGATATTGCGTAATTATTAGTGAACTCGTCGGCAACGGAAAGACCCAAAAGGAGTTTCAGACCATACAGCAATCACTTGACAGTACCTGGAAGCATTGTCGGCTCTCGAAAACGACCTGTGACAAGTCTCACAAGCAAACCTTTTCTCGCCTAAAAGGACTTATGTATCAGTGAAAAAAAAGAAGGCAATTGCCAAGAAATACATACCGGTATGAATACGTTCATGTCGTTTCAAATCCGTTTGTCGTTTAAATCCATGATTGCATTGATCACAAACAAAATCGAGTGTTGTATTGTGTACAAGGAGATGGCTTCGAAGATTCCAGGATCTAGAGTTGAAGGATGGTGACGATGATTAGCGGGCAATCATAAGCGGAACCTCTTTGTCAATGATTGTTTCACGAGGACACAAGGAAAACACAAAGAAAGCTAAAACGGTTACTCACTTGCTAAATGACTTTCCACAATGCGGGCAATTCGAGCTCCCAGTAGTACCATCCGAACGTCTCCTCTTACGTTGAGGTACTTTAACAGACCTTTTAACGACTACTGCTTCGTACTCCTCATCTCCAGTTTCTTCCTTCTCTTCTATATCTTCTTCTTCTACTGACTTTTCATCAACCAAAGCGCTCGGATTCGATATCGGACTAAGCGTCCACTCCTCTATCGGATCATAAGATATAGACTGTGCTGGAGACGGATATGCCTGACTATCGCTACTATAATCATGTATTGCCCGGTGGTGGTCAACACCTAACGTCGTATACGATCCGACCGCTTCGTCGCCAGCACTACCATATGAAGAAGGCACATCACTTATTGGAGAGTCGATACGAGGCTCCATATTATGATAATCTCCAACGTAGTAGTAGTTTTGGTGGTTTGGGGTCATGAATAGAGGTCGAGGGTACTGCATTTCCATTGATTGCTGGTATTGATGGTGTGCCTGCCATGACAGAGGAGGATAATAGTATGGCGAGAGAGCGGTGATCATATGCCCATTAGTATAATAGTGCTCTGGTTGCTGACGTCGAGGACTCCAATGTTGTAGTTGCTGCTGGTAATGGTGGTGCTGACTATGAGGCATCTGCAAGCAAGTATAGAAGTTACTACTACTTTCTTCGTCTTCGCTCGGGTCCAAAGAGCGACACACTGCGGTTCACAGGTAAACACAAAACATTTGGACCAAAATCCGATCGCTTGTTTCTGTCGGTATGAATGGGTGATTTGAGAAACACCATCGACAACACTGGTGAACTTACTGTGGATGTAAAATAGTCTGCGCAAACAGCTTAATCAGACAAGCGTAGCAAAGTAAACTTTTTAACAGTGAAGTCAACTCCCAAAATCCAGTTCCAAAGATTCGTCAAACAAAACCCCGACCGCAGACCCACGATGCAACCACCCAAGACAATGCAAACCAAAGCAATTGGCTACCGTTAATCCTCGTCTAACTATATCAATAATGTCTTAAGAAAACTAATTCTCCAGAGCCCAGTGTCTTTTGTTCAAAGCAGTGGCTCGGTTGGAGCGATTGACCCTTTTTAGTCTTTTGTTCGGATTACACGGTTGATCTGTGGGGCAAGCGATTACAACTCGACTCAGAAGCTTGTGCCTTCGCTTGAAAGGTATCTTACTACCTACTGCCATTACAAACGATAATACCTACATGATAAACTATCATCCGAAAGAAAAACAGGCATCTGGTGGATTATACTACTTTGGACCACATTTATGCCTTGATCCATTATGTAAAACAAGGAATATTGTTGATTAATTCACTATAGAGCATACTGCTGCGTCTCGGAACGTGCCTTCACCTGTCCTTGCGAGTTTGCGGCTTTCCAGGAAAATGGGCTTTCACCTGCAAATGCAATCCGGATGTTAAGTACCAGTGTCACATGCTTTTAATTTTCAGACCTTTACCTGTATGAATCCTTGCATGGCGGCGTAAGTCACTGGCTCTGCGAAAAGCCTAGCAAGAATCAAAGTTAGTGAAACCCTCAAGTGAGGGGAGTTTGACACGAAGCATCTTACCAGCACTGCAAGGTTCGCATATATAGTCTAAAGTCTCACTATGCATGGCCAAGTGGCTCTTCAAATTCCATGCCCTACGGTAGGGCAACCTGACAGGTTTTTTTTTGCGATGCACTGGTGCAAGACGTAAGATACACGTACTTTGCAAATCGTTTTTAACAAACCCCACAATTAAACGATGATGACTTTCGAGATCCTCGCGGTGCTGGTGACTTTGACCGTGCATTGGTACTAGCACATCATCTGATCGATATATTTGGCATCAGTAGAGGTGTTTTGTTTGTTGATGTTGGAGTTGTTGATGGTGAGAGATACATACCAGCTTCTTCATATTCATGATTTTGGGGCTGAAATGTATGATTATACACTGGTATAGAAGGTACGGTATGCGTATAATTGGCGTTGATTCTTAAGTACAAGTGATGTTGGTGGTTTACGTCTACTGGTTGTCGTGGAAAGTACCGTGGGTGCTCATTGGCAAAGACCCACGGAGAACCATAGATGCTGGTGGGCGTCGGTACATTACGTTGCAGCTGATGTTGTCACACGGCTGGATGGCGTTGTGGGCCGAGATGATCATGACATTGTTGCATGAGAGGCTAAAAGTCATAAAAAAATGAAATTTGACTATCATTGTACGCGAAGTCGCCCTCGCTGTAAAGCTTGCGAAGAACTGATGCGACTGCTATTGTTGTTTTGCTGGGACTGATAAAGAGACTTCGTGCTAAAAACACATTTACAGAGCATGAACCCAGGGTACTTGAAACCAAGGTACTTGAAAACTTATATGCTCAGAATCACCTCTATGGTCTGGCATGGCTTGCATCGTTCCAAAGTGGTCTTGGGATGAATAACTACATTGCAACCAAGGTGTAAAAAAACTTGGTGTCTCTGAGAAGGAATTGGACCAAGACATAATCGCGCCAGTTTTGCAACAATATGGAAAACTCCTGTACCAATTTGCAATGTATACAATCCTACCTATGGTTCTTATCGGCCTTTCCTTCTGTCAAATGTCGGCTAGCGGCATTTCGGAAGCTTACCAACAAGTGGGAACAAGTGGGCAGCAATCTTTACTTTTGAGGACATCCTCGAGAGGCTTAAACCATCCGGTATGGGTTTCATAGACCCAAATCGTCGATTCTTATACATCCACCATTTTAGTTTTGAGTTGTGCTGGGAAGAATTTCCCCAATTTGTCGCAGACCTCTGCCTATCAAATCCATTGGATATGTGCTCATTTGTTATCCTATCAAGGGCACAGTGCCTGTTAACGCCATCCTATTGTACCAAAACAGAATACTCGCTTGAGTGATTTGATTGTTGACAAGTTGAAGGTTGCGCTCGTTTCTCAACCATTTCATACCTTGAAAGAGTACTTTTAACAATAAAACTGGAACGGGAGGTGGGAGGATGTCAAGTGAAAATGGCGGGTCACGGCTACGTCAAGTTAGTAGAACATCAAGGAGTTTCATATAGAGGGCGTCTAGGACTGATCCTGAAGTTGTCCTTCGTCGGTATGTTAGATGTTTGCTAAATGTGTGTAATGTTTTTCAAAGTCTTTTCAATACAAAAGCATTGAGTTACAATCACATATTTTTCCCACATCCAAAAGTAGGAAATTCTTGACCGCCGTATCGTTCAATGCCGGAACACCAAAGCTATTTGCAGTCTCTGTACATAATCGTCGTGTAATTTCAAGTGAAACAGTACTGAATACATGGAAATTATCAAAACCTAGCGGTGTTTGGTTTCATCATAGTGCATGCAAAAACATGGAGATGGATTGTCGTTTAAATATCACATGGATGATGTTTAATAAACGATAACAATTACTGTACAATACGACATGCCATGGTTTTGACAATCAAGTTAAAACTATATAATGACCTAAAGGAAAACAGGAAGGCCAGACACTAGCCTTAATATGACCACATCAATAATACCCCTTAATAAATCACCACCTGGACGACCCCACCATAATAATAAGCACTCTTCTCTCTCGCACCCTCATGTCTTGTGCTCATTCAACTGCAACCCCAAGCCAATACTGCCCTTCCCATCACTCTTACTATGATTACCACTGTCATTCCCACCAGCAGCACCCATAAGAGTAGAACGAATATGGCCACTACTACCAGATGGTTTGAGCCACATTCCAAATTCACCTAAATCACCACTCTGGGATCTCTTTCTGGGCGTGTTGTTGGCGGATGATGATGAGGAAGAGGGCGAACGTGTGGATATGCCGGTTAGATAGGAGGTTGGGGGCGTTGATAGGGATGGTGATTGCGAGCCAATGTCTGCCATTACGTATAGGTTTTCGTCATGGATGAGACGTGCCTGTTGGTTGTGTGTGTGATGGGTGTTTGATATTAGACATTAGACAGGGCGGTAGTTGAGTATCTGATTAGCATTATAATGCAATTGCATGTATATCAGTTGTGTTTGCAATACCGCAGTGTTGTCATTAGTGCAAACAATGATGATCAATGTGAAATCACGACACCCAGTAAATGATGATGGCTATGCAGCCCACTTACGGTGAGTTCAGTTAGATGCTTAGGTGGTGAGGATGGGCTTTTAGCAGGAGTGTGCTCGACGATCTCTACAGTAGGCATCTTGTGCTGATGGTGGAGGTCCATTATGGTCGAGTTCACGACTCTTGCGATAGTAACCTTATGTGCAGTTGGAGGGGTCTATATAATAGAAAAGAGTGAATATACTGGATGATAGGAGCGAGACGGTTCGACTAGTACCGTTCACGTGGCGTTATATGGGACGTGTTTTATTTCAATGACAGGAACGTGTTATTGATTGCAACACAAGCCTCCAACAAACAAATCAATATCAAGTGATGCAGGCAGCGACGCAGGCAGCGACCAATACATTCCGCACGACATTTTCATACAGCCGCAAGCTAGTGTGGTTCCCGGGCCATCAGTCAAAAGCACTTCGAGATCTCCGACATTCACTCTTCAATGTCGACCTGGTTGTCGAAGTACGAGACGCACGCATCCCATTCTCATCCGCCAATCTGAGACTAGATAACGTCCTAAAAGGTGTAGACAGGCTCATTGTCTTTAATAAGAGCGACTTGGCTAGCAAGAATTTGCAGCTGGTATGTCTACATTGCAAAAAAAGATTCATAAAAGCAAGACGGATGTTTGGATGTAACACATCGTGGCGTTCTATAGTCGATACAGGACTCGATACTCAAATATACGGGCTGCCAGAGTCTATTCACCAATGCCTTCAAGTATCACGGTGTGAGCCAGATACTCAACTATGCTACTGGTACGGTGAATGTCATATTGTGTATACCAGATGGCATCGCATCTATGATTGTTACAAGCTTCCCCCTAATATCTCACATCCCACTCTCTCTACTCTCCTCACTCACTCACTCGCAGAAAAGGCACAACGAGATCCATCTAAATACCCATATCTCTCCATGATGATTGTCGGTGTGCCCAATGTAGGCAAATCTTCCCTTATCAATGCTCTGAGATATATTGGTTTGAAAAGAGGTAATGGGATGGAGGAGTGTCGAATTTTATGGACTGCCAAAAAAACCAGCGTTACAATTATGAAATAGGGGACAAGGTCGCTCCAGTAGCTCCTCACGCTGGAGTAACAAGAGCAATTCAAAACAAGGTCAAGATACACGAGGATCCTAATATTTATCTTATTGATACTCCGGGTAAGGGTCTGTTATGTGAAAAAGGGAAATGCTTGCTCCACTTGCAATTACTCCACAAGCTACTGTGTCTTGTTTTGCACATACCAAATTATACTTTCACTCATGTAGGAGTAATAGACCCACACATAATCGACCCAATCCACGGCCTCAAAATCGCCCTCACAGGCGGCACAAAGGATTCCACAACAGTAATGATTGACGTGGCAGACTACCTCCTCTTCCGTCTAAACCTCTCCAAAACATGCAAATCCATCTACCCACACGAATTCTCCCTCCCGGCTCCAACAGACGACCTATCCACCGTCCTCACAGCCGTCGCCAAGAAATACAATATCCGCGCAGACACGTCACCGAAAGGACTAGCTGTGCCTATAGAGCAGGTCACGGAATGGGACGCGGATCGAGCCGCGTTGAAATTCGTGACTCTGTATCGGAAGGGGTATCTCGGGAGTATGGTGCTGGATGATTGCACTGAAGAGGGTGTGAAGGAGTGGTTTGGAAAGAAGGATGAGAGGGTGCTGAAGGCTAAAACGTTGAGTGATGGGGTTGATGCTACTAGTGGGAAGAGGAAGAAGAGGGTTAAGAAGAGGGAGGGGGATGACGTGCTTGTTGCTACTGATTCGTTTTCCTTGTAATGTAGTTGTATTATTTGTAATAATTTAAATTGGATGCATAGAATTGCATCTGAAACGATTAGATGGAATGTTTGAATTCTCTCTTGTCTTATGTGCTAGTCTTGTATCAATTGAAGGCTAGGTGGTTGTGATTCTGTCCATGAGGTGATTCAAATCGTCGACGCTAGTAACATGTTCTGATGAATACGTTTCATGAGAAATTATACATGCATTTACCAAAATGAACCTGTTGAAGCAAGCTCAAATTTGGATTCACCTCTGCACTCTTCCACAAAATGTTGAAATACAACGAGTTTGATACATTTGTGCCCACGACAGAGTGTTGTAGACTGCAGCCTGTATGGTTGACTGGGTTTGGCGTTGCCAACAAAACAGACGAGAGATCAATATGGTAGACATCTACTTGACAACCGCTCTGCATGGTCGACGTCACCGTCCATCCGGCGACACTGTCTCCACTCTTGTAGTTGTAGCATATTTCCGACAAGGATGCTACTCCAGCACTGACATTATACCCAATGGCAAGTAGGAGGTAGTTGGTACCGTCAATATAGCCAGGTGAGGATATTGATGTCAGAGTTCCAAAGTCTGAGGGGTTTACAAATGAAGGCGAGGCGTGACAATCGTAATCTACAGGATCAAAAGTCAATGCTTGAGCGTCAACTTTTGTTTACAATCAACAACTTATGAGGTTCAAACTTTACGTGGCGATATTTTATGACAGCAGTGTTCGAACTTTCTCCTACGTAAATATTTCCAACAGTGTCAACAGCGACACCGTAGGGGGTATCAAACCCACTACCGATGCTTGTTACAGTTCCAGATGTTGATATCTTTTTAATGGCATTGTTGTCAGTATCTGCTACATAACCATATCCAGCCATGTCAACAGCAACACCATAAGGTGCATTAAATCCAGTACCGACAGTTGTCACATCTCCAGATGTCGATATCATTTTGACGGCATTGTAATTCCAATCTGGTGCATACACATTTCCTGCCGTGTCAACAGCGATACCAGAAGGATGATAAACTTCGCTATTGAGGATTGTTACATTTCCAGATGTCGATATCACTTTGATGGCGTTGTTAAAAGTGTCTGCTACATAGACATTTCCAGCAGCGTCAACAGCGACGCCGTAAGGGCAAAAAAATCCACTACCGAGGATTGTCATGTCTCCAGATGTCCAGATGTCGATATCCTTTTGATGGCATCGTTGTGGGTATCGGCAACATAGACATTTCCAGCAGTGTCAACAGCAACACCAAAAGGGTTCTTAAATCCGCTACCGAGGGTTGTTACAGCTCCAGATGGTGATATCGTTTTGACGGCATCGTTGTAAAAATCTGCTACATAGCCGTTTCCAGCAGTGTCAACAGCGACACCAAAAGGACCATCAAATCCACTGCCGATAGTTGTTGCATAGTATGTGATCCCCTGTGCGTTAGACGCAACTGCGACTAGTGTCCACCAGAGCAGGCTGATGATTAGCATTCCGAGCAGGCTGGGACAAAGGGGGAACGCCACGTGTTTACTAAGAAACAGAATTGTTGAAAAGAATCAGTTTCTTGCTGTCCACAACGTGCGTGTGTTTTGATTTCTTTGGGTCACAGCAATGCATAGCACCAGAAATCGTATTATGTTATTATCGAATTCAGCTACTGCAACCTACAAGTCTGTATACATTGAAATTAACGACCGAGTCTATGAACTTCTTGTTGTGGTTGGGATGCGTTGTTAACAAAGCAATTGCCTTCCACGAGCCTCAGCTCCTTGGATTCAGCGATAGGATGGGTGCTATAAGGAAGGAGGCCAATCTCATTCAAATTACGACTAGATAAGGTATTTTGGACCTTATAAGCACCTCTATCTTTGAGAATGGTTGGTTGGCAACCAACATTGAGGGTTGCCTGGCAGTTCAGCCTTCTTGTGACCATAGCAACCGAGCCAGCCAGCCGAGTAGACTTTGTGATGGAGGTCCACTTTAGCGAGATATTGACCACCGTCCTTCTTTGACATGTGTCGTCATAACCTTTCTAAAGGCGCCAATCTTGAGTCAAATTCATGAATTCATGGAAACGGTAAAGATGACGCTGAACGTCGTCGCAAGGTGTACGGCCATTGAACCTGTTTTTATTTTAGAGCTGATCGATAGGGAATTGAGGTTGATTCTGAAAAGGGACCAGAAGGTTTTGTAGAAGTTTTGAGCCTGTGAGGTGATTCAAATCGTCGACGCTACAATTATATTCTGATGAATATGTTTCACGAAAATTACGCGTGGAACGGTCAAAGCGAACCAGTTCCAACGTATGTTTGATCGATATCAAGAAAACCATATTATTGTAGTTTTGAAATTCTCTTAAGAAATCAGACGTTGAGTCACATACATTCGAATCTTCAGTTTTTATCGGCCAAAAGATAAACTACTTTCTGCTGGTTTTACTAGCTTCCCTTCATCATCAAGTAAAACTGAAGATACCACCACTTCCTTGACAGGCCGTTTGCGACGTGTCAACACAACAAATGCCACAGATAACATAACCACTACACCAACAGCACCAGCTACACTTCCAGCAATGACTGCAATCCGGTTGATATTGTTACTGCTAGATGCGATGGTGACCTTGAGTCCAATAGGGGGTACCATAGTTTCAGGGAGACTATCACTGCTAGATACACTGCGTTTTACTAGTAGCCTACTATTTTCTCCAGCAATGGGGTACGTCAGTCCAATAACAATGCTAAGAGTAAACGTTTCGGAATTCGAGGTGGAACCAGCGACACTAGCCGAGTTGATCAGGTTTGGTGGAGACGTTCCTAAAGAAGTGTGGTAGTTTGAATTAAGATGTCTTGTCTCGATATTATTTGAAGTGCACACTTTGTACCTTCGGTCAATGTGAAGGTAAGCGTCCAAGGAAGAACTCCCGATCCAACAGGATTCGAAGCTGCAGAAAAGGTAATACCGGCAGACGTATAGTGACTGAAAACAGTATCCGTCAAGGATCCGCCTACGACTTTTGTAGCAGAGCCTAGGGCTACGTTTGTGACAGGAACTGCAGTATTGACGTATCCGGTGATGGTGTAGACACCTCCCAGTTGAAGAGTGCTTCCACCCTATGATGAGAACGTCAAACAGCCAATTACAGGGAAATCACCGACTCATACAACTTACTGCATACAACGAGTTACCACCATCATTTGTAACCACGATTTGCCCGTTACCATCTTTAATGTTGGTCCAATCGGCACTGACGGCAAAGGTAGATGCATAGCACAAATTAGATGAAGGAGCTGTTATATTGATCTAGAGGGGTAAAAGAATTGTCAAGAAGCAATTCTCTCCCACAAAAACGGGTACTTCTTTAGAGAAAAATAGGGAAATGATATAAAGAACTCACTATTATAGGAACATTAGAGGCTGTACACCCTGCAATACCATTACATCCAGCAAACAAGGCGACTTGATATGTTCCCGCTGCATCAACCGCTGCATTGTGCGTCCCATCATTTCCACACAAATTCGTTACATCGGAAACTAGCGTGATGCTCCAAGATAATTCCGTACTGACTGCAGCCACTCCCGGTCCAGTCGGACTAGAGCCACCAAATGCTGGGTCTGCAAGATTGATGGCGACTGGAGGAGTAGCGGTTGTCGTGATTGTTAGAGGATTGCTGGATGCATACGTGATAGAGTTGTACGGGTAGAAGGTATCAAACTGTAAAGAGAGGACGAATTTGCCAGTGTGGGCTGACGCATTCGTTCGAGTTATCATGAGCACTGATGTGATGGTGGTGTTGTCCATAATAGCACTGCCAGCATTCGTCGATATTCCCACAGGCGTGATTTGAATTCCTTGAGGTGTGTTGATTTCGATTTCAACGGGATTGGCATAAGTATCACCAGCTCCAACCTGTAAAGTTTCAGTGTTAGACTTCATCAGTTCCAGGTGGTTCCCCTAGTTCAAATATGCCTTCACCTCTGCACTTTTCCACAATATGTTGAAAAACAACGAGTTTGACACAGTTGTTCCTACGACAGTGTGCTGTAAACTGCATCCTGTATGGTTGACTGGGCTTGGTGTTCCCAACAAAATAGACGAGAGTTCGATTTGGTAAACATTTACTTGACAACCGCTCTGCAGAGTCATCGTGTTCATGCTCCAGCCGGCGACACCATCCCCACTTTTATAGTTGTAGCATATTTCCGACAAGGATGCTGTTCCAGCACTTGCATTATACACAATGGCAAGCTGGAGGTGGTTGAGACCGTCAATATAGCCGGGAGAGGATGTTGAGGTCAGGGCTCGAAAGGTCAACGGGTTTACAAATGACGGCGAGGCAGGACACTCTTGATCTATAACATCAAACGTCAATGCGTTAGCGTCGAATTTGGTGACTATTACAAATATTCAATGAGTTTCAAACTTGTACGTGGTGACAGTTTCTTTATCAAATGGTTGTCAGCATCTCCTTCATAGATATTTCCATCAGCGTCAACAGCAACGCATAGAGACCTCGTTCCAACGGAGACAAGTGTTACATCCCCAGAAGTTGATACCATTTTGATGGCACTGTTGTCAGAATCCGCTACATAGACGTTTCCAGCAGTGTCAACAGCGACACCGTAAGGTCGACTAAATCCACTAGCTATGGTTGTTGTTACATCTCCAGATGACGAGATCTTTTTGATGTTATTGTTAGACGTATCTGCTACATAGATATATCCAGCACTGTCAACAGCGACTCCATAAGGGAGATTAAATCCACTACCGATGGAGGTTGTGGCTCCAGATGTCGATATCTTCTTGATGGCATTGTTATCCGTATCGGCTACATAGACATTTCCAGCAGTATCCACCGCGATACCCCAAGGCGTACTGAATCCATGTCCAATGGGTGCTACATCTCCAGATGTCGATATCTTTTTGACGGTACCCTGACCAAAATCTGTTACGTAGACAGTTCCAGTACCGTCAACAGCTACACCTGCAGGAGCAAT